TAGGGTGTTTGTGGAGGTGTTTCTTAATGGGAAATAACAGTTTTATAGCAGAAATTGGTCAATTTCACGGAGTTAAGCTCAAGAATGGGCTGGTCCATTTCATTTCCCGGGTGCAGATGGCTGGCCCCTGTCCTGGGCTGCTTCTGAACCGAAGGGCACCCCCGGGGCGCTTCTGTGGGGTCCTTTGGCATGTTAGCTCCCCAGGGTCCCTGCCGGCCCTAACCTCAAGGCTCCACTCCTCCTGCTCCAGGCTGGCCTCCCAGGCCTCCCAGGCCGCAGGAGGCGGATCACAGCCAGCGGTCCCTCCCAGATCCTGCGGGGAACGGGGCGCTCCGCGGGACAAGCCACTCGCAACTTCTGTCTTTTACGCTGTTGTAATCATGTTATGCATTACATTTTCTTGCCTTTTTCACTTAACATAGTTGTGTAAGCACTTCTTTGTTCTAAACAAATTTTCATTAAGTTACCTTTTCCTTTCTCCCTATTTACAAAGAGATTTACTTTCCCTTCTGCTAAGAAATCTAGAAGTGTTGCCATGTACAAGCGCATCTTTGTCTTTGTTACTTTGATGCTTGATTAATCTTTAGTTTGGACAAAATGATTTCCTTCGCTGTGAATGACCCAGCAAGGATGGTACCACGGGCTTTACAAGAAGAGATTTATCTTGTACTTGTTCACCCAACCAAGAAGGCATTCCAGTCTCAGGGCCTATGAGACACCAGGTTGTAAATTTTTCTGACTCCTGCTGTAAACAAAGCCTGTCAGGAGGCGGCTGTGACCCGACACCCCTTTCAGAAAGGGAAGCTGAGGAAAAGAGAACTTGCCTCCCTCTTCATGTGACTATGCGCCTTGGGAAGAGGAGACTGGGGATTTCTAGATGCAGAGCTAGAGCTGACAATTTCTAGTAAACAAAAACCACAGTAGTGGAAACTTTGAGTTGTCTTGAAACTGCAAGGTCTTGGGCACTCCTTTAATGAAGAAGTGACTGGTTCTCCCAGGTGAAGAAGGGTTGATGATGCTCTGTTGGTGAAACTCTTCTTGTCTTAATCCCAAGAACTTCCGCGGTTGGATTTCCCTGGCACAGTATTCATTAGGGGATGAGCTGGGGGAATCAAATAAATACACCTGCATTTTGTAAATGAGGGATTGGCATCTTGCATTGAGAAGTATTAACTATGACTGAGTTTAGCTCTGAACACTTTTGGAGTCCTCTTGTCAATAGAAGAGGTAAAGAAGAAATTTAAAAAGATAAAGAAAAGGAAGCTGTCACATCCCTAACCTTAGGAATAAAGTACCATAACATATACTGCTGTATTATGCATATCTAAAGAGTCATGGACAGTTAATATTTGCTTTTTCCCTCTTTATTTAAAAGAATGTGCTCATTAATTAAAAAGTGAGATGCTACACCATTTTTAATTTTCAAAAATCTCCTTATAATGATTAAGGAAGTAGTCTCTCTCATACTCACTGTTGATGGGACTGTAAATTGGTGCTATGTTTCTGTGATAAAGCCTCAATATTATTTCTACACTTTTTGGCAGTAACTTAATTTTTAGGACTTTATGCTGTGGTATGTTATGAATGTATACAGTTTATGTTACACATTAATATAATAGGTATTAACACATCAAGTGTTATATATATTTTAAACATCATAAATAATCTATTTTTAAATAAAGTGGAATTGGTTAAATAAATTATGACACATCTATATAGTAAAATTCTTTATGATCAAGAATCCTGATGTACAGATGTTTTAATAATATAAAAAATGTTCAGAAAAGATCATTAAATTACAGAAAAACAAAAAAGTATATATCACTTAATATATAATACACACAAGATGCAAACACTAGTATAAAATATACCAATATGTTAATGCAGTTTCAGTGGTTATTTTGAACAGTAGGTCTTTCCATCCTTTCTTCCTTTCTTTTTTACCCTCCTCCTTCTTATTCTTGGTTTTCTCTGTTTTCCAAGGCTTTCCTTGGGGTTTTCATTTTCCAGTTTGAAGAAATATACTGTTTAGTTTTATTTTTAACATTTTCTTATAAAAGTCTACTATTTGGATTTTCCTTAGGGAACTCAGGTGCAAAAGGAAAGTGAAACAATTGTATCCCACTCTGTTTTATTTGAAGGGGTTTCCTCTAGTCATTGGAAGGTTTCTTCCTCCATGGTTGAAGAGGGGACACAAATAGGAAACATTCCACTGGGCCTGTCAGAAGACCTAGAAAAACAATTCCACCCTGTTCATTTCTCTTCAGGAAATGATTTTAAAAAAGAAATGATTTTTATTTCTTTTTACCTGATTTGATAATTGAAGGACTGGTAGAAAAACCAGGTATTTGCCATATAATTATTCCATGGTATTTAACTTTATGTATTTCTTTCCCACAACTTTAAAAAATAAGTTTACCTTTAATGTTTAAAATTTAATGATTTACAGCTTTTATGATACCCCTGAACATTTTTCTACTAAGTTAACAAATCTGGGCTTTTTAATTTTCTAATTAATGTCTAAATATAAGTTTTCAAACAAAACAAAACAAAACAAAACAAGTCGTATATACAGGCCAGGATAAGGAGAGCAAGACTAGCAAAAACAATGTTCAATACTGACTAAAAGCAGTTGACTATGTCCCTTCCCCAACTTGAAGTCTTAGGCTTAGGGAAGGTGCATAGCTTATTGCAGGTGAAGAAATACTGAGAACTGAAACTGGCAGTGGCAGACAGTGCTTATGTTATACTAACAACTGTATATAGTCTGGCATAAGCAGATGGTATAAGTTTCAATAATATTAAGCTTGTGGTAGGTAAATGAAATTTATGCAAGAGTATATTTTCAAACAATCCTTTTAAAAAAGTGAATCCTACCAGTAAAATCATCATAGGTACTTCATGCATTTCTTTTCAGGGAAAATTGATGGTAGAACCAGCACTTTAACTTTGCCTCTTAACTCATTTCTGTGCTGCCAGTGTCCCGTGGGTCCCAGACCGAACACCAGCGGATGCTGGGCCGGTGATTCAGACAGCTCTGGGTCTCTCTGCGGGGCGGGGAGATGGCATGCATGCTTCTACTTTCCCAGAGGCCAGATGAATTCTGCAGGGAGGAAGTCATGGCAATAAGAAGGGCTGAGAGCCATGGGCTGCCTTCAGGAATCCCGGCAGGAACTTCAAGTTGGTTCAGTATCTAGGAAAGCCATGTCAATGAACTGACACCTGAGGGATAAGGAACAAAATGGTGGACTTTACAAGAACAAATTCTTGGAATACCTATGACAAATGTGTGCAGGGGGAGGGAGTCCCAAACTATGGGAAGACCTTCAAGGATTTGATGCTTACAGATAATGGAGATATGCTTTTTTTTTTTTTTTTTTTTTTTTGTATCCATTACCCTGGTCTTACTCTCAGCCTGTGGTCACCTGGAAAGCAACATTTTAATATTCCTTTTGAAAAAATAGTTTTCAGGTGGCATACACAAAAGGCCCATGTGTGGGCTTCTCATTCCTGCCTTTAAAACAATAAACACTAGAGGTATCATTTGGCATAAACAGCAGTTACCAGGAAATTAATTAGCTAAGTTGAAAAAAAAAAGTCCCTGAATAGCATTTAATCTTCCAAATAAGAAATCTTCGTTCTGGGGTCAGACTGATAAATGAGGTTCCATTTAGACTGATAGATTGGAGTCATCCTTTTGGGGTGCAACTGAGCATCAAATGCACTTGATAGACATATTCTATGACGTTACACTGTTTTTTGTTGTTTTTTTTTTTTGTATTGCATAGGTAGTTACCTTTCTAGCATTTGTATCTGATTTGGAAAATATTTTAGAACAACCCAGCAACAAGTTCAAGATAAAAAAAAAATTGTACACACTTCAGAGCCGCTTCCCATTACATGAATGTGTAAAGTGAATTCTCTGTCAAGATGAAAAAAACAAGGGTTGGCTTCCCAAAACTGTTTTCATTGGCTTTAGGGAACTAAAACACACCAGTCTGGGTGACTAATACTTCCTGTAAAATAAAGATAGATCAACACATAATTAAGTTCTGGCTCAAATATAATTGTTGTCTTGGAAACAGTTTTAAAGATAAATATGGTTATGCTAATGAAACTCCTCATGATTCCAACCAATGATTCTGTTGCATAATGAGGCCAGGGCATTTTATGATCTTGTGCTACTCATTTCAGAATATTTAAAGGGTTAAAAATAGGTCATAAAAGAACACTGAAGAGGAGGAAAAAGTGATAAATTTTAAATTCGTTCATTATCAATGTTCATCGGGATTCCAGTTGGTCCTCTGGTCCAGCTTAAAAGCGCTTGTTGGCTGGTGGTTGGTTTTCAAATCCTTCTTACCCCATTAGGCAGAAAAAAGAGAGCTTTATATACTGCATTTTGAATGAATAATTCCTAGAGTTATTTCTCTGAACTCTGTCTTTGGGGGATTTAAAATTGGACGGATCCAAGAGAAACAAGAGAAACCAAATCCTCTGTAGCCAGCTCTGAGTACTGAGTAGTTTTGTAGGAAGTTCTACTCAATGCGTAGCCCAAAGAGCAGCCTGCCTGCTCAGAAGGGTTTTGTTGAGGCCGAGTGTGAATTCCGGACGCGAGGGCGCATCGCGGCTCTTAAGATCACACCCACTCGGGGGTGCCTGTGGCTGAGCGCGTGTGCCAGTGCGCGTGTGTACGTGTGGGGAGGTGTGCGCCAAAGGGGTGGGGTCAGGGGCAGCGAGGAGGGCGCTAGGTGAAGAAGGAGGAGAGAGAGGTCGCTCGCTCCAGTCTCTCCCCCAGGTCCTCACAGCTCGCTCGCGTCCTGGCTGCACCTCCGGGTGCGCGCCGCAGCGACGCCACAGGCCCCTAGCCCCTAAGACCACCGCCCTCCGGACGCCCGTCCCGTGCGGCCAGAAGCTGGGACAGGCGATGGCGCGGGACTGACGCCGCCTCCCTCCGGACCCCTCTGCCCCGCCCGGGGCTCTCGGTGCCCCGGCGCCGCCCCGATCTGCATGTGGGACGGGCGCGCTCGCACCCGGAGAGAGCGGCCCTTGGCGCCCCCGAAGCTCTGCCCCGGCCGCGCGGGAGGACGAGAGGGAGGAGCAGCGGGCCCGGCCCGGCTCCCTGCACGCCGCGGCCCGGGAGCAAGGGCTCCCTGGAGGGAGCTCGTGGCGTCCCAGACCCGGAGGAGGGACCCGGAAGCAGAAGCACAGCCGCCAGTCGAGCCGAGCCGCTGCCCCCGCTGCCCGCCGGCGCCGGGTGGGGGTCCCGGCGGCTGGATGGGCAGCGGCGGCGCGGGCCGCGGGCGGCGATGGGCGAGGAGCAGAGCACGGTGAGCGGCGGAGGGCCCCAGGAGGCAGGAGACCCCACCGGAGGCTCCACGGGCCACCCTGAGCCCCCGAGGCCGCGGGGGGACAGCGGTGGGGCGCCCGGGCCGTGCACCGCCTCCGTGGATCCAAGTGGCGGTGGCTGCGGAAGCGACTCCGGCTGCGTGGACACGAGCGCCCAGGAGCCCACGCGAAGCCGGGGGCCCCCAGGCTGGACGGAGAGCCAAGCACCCAGGCAGCCCGCGGGAGTGGCACTCACCGTGCCCCTCAATCCCCAGACTTTGCAACAGCAGCTGGAAGAGGAGGAGGAAGAAACTGGGGACCGAAAAGAGGGAGAGGATGAACAGCAGAAGGTGCCCCCCGGAGAGGAGCCGAAGCCCAGGACCCGCGTTAGGTCCCCGGACTCGGTGGTCTTGGACGTGCTGGGTCAACGGCGCCCGCCCGCCGCCAAGAGGCAAGTCTTCTGCTCCGTGTTCTGCGTGGAGAACGACCTGCCCCAGGACCCCACCACCGAGAAGCTCTCGCCGCCTGCCTCGCCACCTCGGACTCCGCCGGTGTTGGACCCTCCCAGTGCCCCCGCCTCCTTTCTTAGCCCTCGGCTGTCCCTCCCGACGGACCCCCTGTCCCCCGATGGCGGCAGCATCGAGCTGGAGTTCTACCTGGCTCCCGAGCCGTTCTCAGTGCCCAGCCTGTTGGGAGCTCCACCCTACTCTGGCCTGAGTGGGGTAGGGGATCCCTATGCGCCCCTCATGGTGCTGATGTGCCGGGTGTGCCTGGAAGACAAGCCTATCAAGCCCTTGCCCTGCTGCAAGAAGGCCGTGTGCGAGGAGTGCCTCAAAGTCTACCTGAGCTCCCAGGTAACGTCACCCCCTGTGTCCCCTCCTCTGCGCCCCATTCAGCATTCCAAATCACTGGCCAGGAAGTCCAGCTCGCCAGCTCCCTGCTCACAGGAAGAGGTGCTTAGACACCCTTACTGAAGACCTCTATCGGTTTCTCACTTCTCAGTTGTTGTAATTAAGTATGTTTTGTCCTCACTGGTTAGCTTGACTGGAATTTAACCCAGCTTGGAGCTTCAGGTTTGGTTGGCAACCGCGGAAAAAAACAGGGTGCAGTGAATTGCCCTTTGCTTATTTCTTTTACTAGATTGCAAGCAAGAGCTTGCTCAAAGAGGAGGGCGGTGAGAGTGCCTCAGAGGCCTGGTATCCCAGAAACTAACAAATTTTGGGCATAAAATAAATATGTATTCACTTGGTGAACGGAAGGGCTGGAATTAATGTTTCTGGTCAGTGATACCTGATTGTTTTAAAAAGAAATCGCTCCATTTATATGTCCCAGAAGTGTAATTTATTTATTCCTTGGCTCTTGCCTACTTTTCAGGGGGTTTTTTCCCCCACAGTAAAGTTGAAATACTTTTTCTCACTGAACTTTTATGCCAGCAAAGTACTTAATTTCTTTAAGAGATAAAACAGAGAGAGAGAACAAAGCTAAGCTACGAGGTTTAAGCAAAACAAGTGGTGGTGAAACATTCTTCCTCAGCTCCTTATTTGAAAGCTTTTTTTTTTTTTTCTTGGAAAGATGAAGAATGCAACAGACCTGCTTTCCTTCACTGATGGTGAATGTGTTCTTCCAGCACTTTTCAGTCTGTTGTGTTTCTGCCCATGTTTTGCAGAATCTGGAATGCCCTTTGATCCTGTGTCTGATTGTCCTGGGCCTATTCATCTTTCACCCTGGCTGTGTAGGTGCCAGCTTTTCTGTGAAGCCTTCCCTCGCCCCCCAGGCCACAGTTTATATACTTTGAAGATACTTTTATGTGTTTTACAGTCACTGAAGTTGTTCCTTATGTGTCTGTTTGTCTTGCCAGACTGTACAGACAGAATCTTATAGTTTCTGTGTCTGGTGGTTTCAGGTTGAGCCCCTTTCCTTTAATAGTGTTTAGTAACATTTACTGTAGCGAACTACACAGGATTCCACACAGCACAGTGGGGTTCCTTTGTGTTTTGTGGCTAATCTATGCTTGTGTCTAGACGGAAAGTGTGCACTGTGCTCAACTGAAAATGCAAAGGGAAATCTAGACTGAACGGAATGTTACACAAACAGTAACTTGCCCAAGATGGTTGAGATTACCCCAATGCCTGTAAGAGACAATGATGTTTCTTTCATGCTTTATTCACAAACAGATACTTAAAACAGGAGGATGTTGGCTGCTCACTGTGGCTGCTTCTATGACATCACCATCAACCAGATACTAGTACCATCCACGTGCAAAGACGTGTGGTGGCATTCAGACATTTCCAATGTTAGGAGCCCTGCTCCAGTAAAGTCACTGTGAGAGCAGATGTGTATACAACAATACAAAGTAGCATATAATGAGATGTATACAGAGTATCAATACCAGGTAGTGCTTATTGTTAAACACTGGGTACAAATACATTGGGTTACTAGTTCAAGAGAGGTAGTCACTGTGGTTTGGGTGTTCTGCATTGCAGTTTGATTTCCGTGAGATGGCCCTTTCCCAAAGCAGTTTTTTGTTTGTTTGTTTCTTTACTTCTGTGAGTTAGTTTTATGAAGTCAATGTTTTGATCTCCTAGTGGAGAAGAAAGGGGAGTGGAAGGATGACAAGGTGAAGTATCATTGCAATACACAGCCACTAAAAACTCCTCTGAAGTGTCCTAGTATCTGAAGGTGGTCTGCAGCATTTATGTTTGTATATATGTCGCTGGCCTTCTTCCAAAGTATGTGGCAGAATTTTCAATAATGAAAAATATGTTTTATTTAAAATAATAAACAACAAAAAGATGAGTCATGCAGGCCAAGCATGCTTCCCACCTCAGGGTTTTTGTACTGGCTGCTGTGCCTGGAATCTCCCTGAGGCCATTCTTGTGGCAGGCTCTCCCCTCCCACTTCTCCCTTCCAGGTCTGTATGCAAATGTCACGCTTTTGGCCCTAACCAGCCACTCTTTTTAAAGGTGAGCCTCACCCCACATTCCTGTTCTCCTTTCCTGCTTTTTATTTTCTCCATAATGCTAGCATATTCTATCTTATACTTCTGTAATTAATTTCCATGAAGACAGGAGTTTCCGCACAATTTGTTCACTACTGGATCTTCAACATCTCGAGCACTGTCTGACATATGAACAGATGCTGAAGCAATAGTTAATGAATTTATGAAGAGCTGTGTGACAAAGAAAAGATGAGATGACCTCCAGAAACCACAGCTGGGAAGGGGTGTTCTGCTTGAGCACTAAATTCTCTCTGAGCTTCTTGATGTTTAAGGCAAAACAGACTTAATAGTTCTAACATAGAAGACAACAAAACTGATCGGTTTGCTAAGTTTGCTAGTAAACAGAGAACTAAAGAGTTTTTTTGACATACTTTTAGCTTATACAAAAATGGCATTTTTTTCAGTTTGATAAACTGATCTGGGTTAATTCTAAGGTCCCTTCTCTTCAAAGGAGCTGTGTTTCCATGTCACTTACCCTCTTGTGTCTCAGTTTCCTCATCAGCGTAGTGGAATTGCAGACCATAATCTGTAGTGACACTCCAGTTCTAAAGGAAAACAAAATCAATCCGCAGAGTTGTTTGGTTGCCTCACTGAATGAGATCAAAAGGGCATAGGGAGGGCTTTCTTACTTTATAAGGATTCTTGGGTTTGACAAAAGCAAATCTGTCAAACCTGACCTTGGCAGGGTTCTTAAGACCTTTTGAAATAAAATGATATATTTCAAATAAAAAGTTTTTAGTGACTTTTCACCATTTTTTGAGCCTGTGCCAAATAATGCATGATGTAATACAACTTGAGAAAATAAAGCAGAGTCCTTATTAGGCATTATATACAAGCGTTAAAAAAAAAAAAAAATGCATCCTACATGTGAGTTGGCCTGTTGCCTATTTAAATTGACATTCTCCTAAAAGGAGATGCTTCATTCTTTGAAAGAAGGATGAATGCGTCTGTGAAAGACACGAGTGCAGATTCTCAGATGAGCCTTACCTCCATGTGAGCCATAGACTGAATGTGTGGTAAAGGTCAGTGGATAGCTGTCGTCTTTATCTCAGCACAGACATGGCAAATTAGTCAATGACTTAAATACCCCCATAGTGTCATTTAAAAATAATAGCGTTATTTTTCAAAACATGATTCTCCATTTATTGCTGTTACTGTGGCTGTGGGTAATCTTTCTTAATAGAATGACTTTACAGTGCAGTAGGTTCCATCTAGTTTCCAATTGCCAATGGAGAAGGGCTGAACTGATAAGTTACAATCTTTGATTTTGCATAGGTGTTGACTTAGAGTCTCTAAAGCACCGTGGCAGAGATAGCGGGGTTATACTGGTTCATATTGCCCGGGTACAGTAAATTTTGGTACATAAAATTTAGAAGTACATTTCCCAGTGACCTATGTGTGCATGCATGACTGGCTTAAGGACAAAATCCCAGAGATGTCTGCAGTCTCCTACAGGTCACTGAGCCATGGAACTGTTGGCCTTCTCAGCTGGTTTGGCTTTTACCACATTTTCCTAGGAGGAAAGGGTCTTGCTTTCTTTGTTTCAGACAATGAAATGAAATGAAGAGGAATGAAATGATTTCATTTCAGAAATCCTCCACAGATCTCTTTCCTCTGTGATTTTGGTTTTAGACAGTAAAATCTGTTATAATATGAAATATTAATATTTAGCACTTCAGATAAAGACAGGAGAGAACTGGGCATGCCTGCTAAAGGTAACAGCTGTTGTAGCTTTCATCACTCTGCTTCAAAGTGTTGCAATTGGCAGATGCATAAGAGTTGGAATGTATACACCTGTCAAATGAGTATTAATAGAGACATGCAGCACATTTCTCCTACAGATTTTGAACAAAACAGCTGCTGGATGGTAATGGCCTAAAATGAGAGTCTACTGTAGTCATCCTGAATCAGTGACCTAGGGGTGAAGCTTATGTATCCTATTATTAAACTCTGAGTCATCCAGACCTTTATGGATAAAAGTGTAACCTACACTTTTTCCTTAAACCTTAAAGTAACCGGTATATTTTTAGAAACTATCACCTTTGGTATAGAGTTGGAATCTAGTCGTCTTCACACAGGTGAATTTATAGATCCTGTCATGCCAGGTGTGATTCTGGTAATTTTGAAAATGTAAAGAATAATATGAGACTAAAATCTGTTAAGTTACTCTACACATTTAAAAAGTGAAAATTAAGGCATGTGTAAGCTTATTCTTTTGTGTCCCAAATTTGTGTGTTTGTGTGCTCGCGTGTGTATATGGGGCGGGGGGGCGAGGTAACAATTACTTTCATACTTTACTGGCTCATGCCCTTATTTTCCTCTTTTGTCTCTTTAATAATACATGTTTAGTTATATCTTTATTTATCTTTAACAGTTGCTTTCTTTCATGCATCTTATTGTTCAAATCTGATTTTCACTGGCATTGGACTTCTGTGGAGGAAACCCCTGCTGAAGGCTGAGCTCTGGGCCAGCAGGACCCGGTCTGGGGCTGCCTGGGTGTCGCTTGCCTCTCCCAGCTGTCTGGAGATGAGGTGACACAGAGCCTGCATTGTGCTCCACTGCCTGAGAGATCTCAAATAACGAAACGAGTACTACTTTCCTAAGGTGGCAACTCAAACCTGGAGAGTGGTGATTTTTTTTCTCCTAGAGTAGAGCTCAGATTTTATACTTAAAGGCTCTTCCTTACTTCTTATGTGAGAGACAGAAGAAGGAGAATATTTTCATTGAGAGTTTGTGATGGGCACTGTGGACATACCTGAGTGGTAATTCTTGTAATTAACTTACTCATTTATTAGTGTACCATTTACGCAGTTAATAAACATTTAGTGGGTACCTGTATGCCAAATACCATGAGAT